GAAGATAAGGGTCAGAGAAGTAAAGAGCAATATTTTACCTTAGAAAGAAAAGAAGGATAAAAAGTAGATGTTTGGACTCATGTATTCTTTAGTTCACGTCATATTTATAATGTTTAGCCGTTAGTATTTGAAAAAATAAAATAAAATCACAATTTTCACTTCGTGTGAATGTTGCTACTAGGAACATGTGTTACATTTTTTCTTTATTGAACATCGTGTGTACTGTTCTTGATTCACTATATTTAATAACTATTTCATAACTTTTCTTTTTATTTGAATTTTTCTCAAGTTGATCTACCTTTGAGGTGATTGAGTTTTTTTTTAATAAAATTTTAATATATAAGTAAATATAAATTTTATTTATAAGTTAATTTTTAAAATTAACTTAAAATTATTTTCTGGAAGGTATTAAGGCCGCATGGACATGTAAAAGTATTTGATGTTTTAAATATAAAAGTAAAATATTAGAAGGAATGTATTATCATATTCAAACAAATAATATAGAGACAATAAAAACATTTTAAAGAAGATATTTGAACAACAATATTTATATAAACAAATATTAAAGGTTATTTGAACAGTAAAATAAGTTATAATATTCAAGTGATAGAATTAATCAAGCACAGAACTTAAGTTAATATAACTTTTCACACATTTGAACCTGGTACATATAATTCGAAATCAACATAGGACAATTTAACTTTGTTCTAGTTAAATCAAATGTTTGGCACAAAAGATAAACATAATAACCTGAAATCCAAAACAAAAAGTGAACCATAATAGTAAGTTAGTTACAAATGTGCAAAAGAATCCTTGAACATGGACTTACAATAAAAGTTATTATTCTTAAACAATACATGTAGGCAACATTCATTAATATAAGGAAAATCTTTTTTTAACGATTTTTTTCACAATTTCTTTTACAATTATTTACATGATAGCTCGTGGTTGGTTTGTTTCAAATATACAAATCAATAAAATAATAACATATAATTTATTATCAAAAAATTATTAGAAAAATGATTAACATATTCTAGTCTTTAATATAATAGAGTCTACCAAGTGCAAAGGGTCGTACAATTATTATAACTATGAATGTATCCACTTAAAGTCCATTAGAAAAAAAAAGCAGTTTAGATAAATTAGAATTTCTAAAAGTGGACAATTTTTTAGTTCAAAATACACATAGTTTTTACTCAACAAATAGATCAATTTGTAAGCCCTTGCGGCTTGTAACATCTCACAAAAAATCTTATTTACATAATTAACAACAAGGACTCACTCAAATGACTTTTTGATTAAAAAAAAGTTAATTTGAGGTTCTTGATAACTCTTTCTTCTTTTTATAACTTTATCCATTACTTATAACCTTCTCTTTTACGTTTGATCATTGTTGTGTTTGTTTCCTTTTTGGAAATGCATATTTTGTTGTATTTAATCAATGACATTATTATGTTTACTAATACATTATTCAAACATCTTATATATAGTACAAATATATAAGTATATTGATTTTTCTTACAAATGGGAAAAACTCAATTATAGTAGATATGATTAGTGATACAAAATTCTAGAATGAAAAGTAAGTTACATTACGACTTTATAATCCCATTAAAATGATATTATTGTTGCCTGTTTTTTGAAGTGTTTTCTTAGCTGTTTCGCCCGGATCTGGTGGGATCCTGTTAAAACACTCACTAACGATGAAGACTGGCGGATGGATGATATCGCATGTAACGGATCGGACGGACGCTTGGTGACGGACGAACGTCTTCTCACAAGCTCTTGGCTGAGGGCTGGACGCGCTGGGAAGGGCCGAACGGGCTCTCGTCTTCAAGTCCTGGTTGTAGTATTCGTCCTCTCCCTCCTCGCTCTCCAAGCCGGACGGTCGTGTACTTGTCAAAGGCACTCCGACGCTTAAGTCAGTAACATGACCAAGTGGTCTTGTAATGCATAGTGTATATTGCATTGTAAGCAATTCGTCCAGAAACTCATACCTGGAGACCTTTCATTTAACTGATTGTAATGGGTTTTTACCTTTCGTGGGCCTGAAAACGGCCCAATCATACCTTAATCTTCATTAAGGGCTTTATGATCAGTTAGTAATTTAACCGCGTATTCGACACGTGAGGGACGGTCGTGACGGCGGTTAGCAGGGTGACCGGCCAAAAATGTCAACTTGGGTGGGAAGCCACTCGGTTCTGCCGATCGGTCACGATGGACACTCGGTCATGTCGGTCGAACCTAGATGGACGAACCTTGGAGGGCCGTTCGTTCTATGTACGGTTGGCCAATAGGTCAGTCCTAGCTCGGACGTTCGGTCTTGATCGTGACCTGGGTGGACGGCCTTGGAGGACCGTACGGTCTATGAAATCTCGGATGGCGTTAGTTTGGACGCTTGGTCTTGATTGTGACTTGGGTGGGCGACATTGGGCTAACCGCTCGCTCTATGTGTCGGGAGGACCGGACGGTACACTTACTATATGTGTGGTTCCTTTTTTAACTATCATATCTAAAGCAAATAATCTAAATTTTCAATAAAATTTTGCTAACATAACGCAATCCAGATTTATTATCAAATGACTCATTATATATTCAATATTTAACATTCTTTATATGCAAATTAATTTGAGGTTCTTTAAAACGCTTCAACTTGAATTGCAAACAAAAATAAACATAAGAATTGAAAATTAAATTAAAAAAGAGAGTCAATTCACGTATTCAGATTCATTTAATAATTCCCTCTTATCATGCTTGTTTCTAACTATTTAATACTGACCTTAACTAATTCAATTAATAGTTTTTTTAATTCGAATCCAATGGAACATCATTAAAAACCAAAAAATACAAATCAAATCAAATTTTATTCAATATAAATTTGTATCTAATTATCAAATCAAAATTTAATTGACATAATTGAATTTCTAGATGAAAAATTCAATTTACTAATATAAGTCCAAATCGAAATTAGAGAGAAGAAAAACCAATTTGAAGAACAAAAGATAAAGAAGAAAAGGAAAAAATAAAAATAAAAAATTGAGAGAAAATGAAACGAAGAGACAATTTCTAAAATAAAAAAATTATAGAAATAAACTGAGTGTATTTCATCGGCACATTTAAGTTATATATATAAGCTTTGATTAGTTGGATGTATGGACCTAAATGTTGCTACAATTAGGTTTAAGCTAAATTACAAAAGCTTAAGCTCAAAGAAAGAAAATCATATCTAAGCTAAATTAAAAAGCTTAAGCCTTAAAATAAGGAAAATCAAGATTTACTAGATTTCAATACACTAAATCTCCACAATTTCAAAAGTTTAAAAAATAGCCAAAGATTCTAAATCCGAATAAACAATATGTTATTTTGAAGCTTTGTACAACCCAATAACCTCCTATTATACAATCTAATGTAACTAGAATAAACTAAAAATAATATTCACAAAAAAAAAATATGTCTCTTTAAGTTATCAATATAAATTTTGTATATTATTTTCATATTTTCCAATTAATTTTATCTCAGTCCAAAAAACTTTTAAAATTAAACAATTATATACTTAATTAAGTGTGAAGTTATACTCACTTATATATTATAAATTGATCTTATTTTTAGTCTACGTGAGACTTCCAACCGTTAACTTTAAATTATAAACATTTCTTCTAAACAATCTTTATAAAACATAACAACATTTTCAAATCAATTAACAACTTAAGCCCTTTACAAAATTGTTTTATAAATTGAATTCAAAAACAAATTTTAAACTAATTTTGAAAGTCCAAATCAATTCTGATCCTAATAAATTGAAAAAAAAAATAAAAAATGAATTTAAACAAAAAACAGCCCCCTTTAATTTCTTTGGATTTGAATTGAGCATGATCCTCACATCCAACAAAGTGGTTGACCCGACGAAGAACAAGATGTCGTAAAAGGGAGAATTCCTTCTCATTCAATTTAAAATACCTTCAATTTTTAATTAAAAATAAGTGAAAAACACATCACACATTCTATCTAGTATATGGATTTGTTTCCCATCAAAATCAAAGTTAATTTACTAATAAACAGGACCATATATTCTCATGATTTTGAATGCATAAAGTTAAGACGTCAAAGTATAGTTAAAAACACAACAGTTGATGAAAACATCTTTTTTTTAAAACTAAATTATCCTTAACATGAATACTTTATTTGTCTTTCTACTCTCTGTTTTTCTCTTTTTCCTTTCGCCCTGAACCAATAATGCATTTCTACCATTTTATCCTTTAAACTAAATAATACAACAAAATGCTTACCATTTTTTCTGAAACAATCTAAAGTTTGATATATCTAACCATGAATTTATCAAAGGAAGCTTCTTATTTTTATTAAATAACACTTGTCGCCAAATATAATGAGTATTATATAATTTTTTATTTTTTATTTAAGTGTAGTAAGTAAGAATATTTTTTAACCTACAATTTATGATGAATACAAACTTTAGGAGATAAGGAAGGAAGTACTATAAACCGATAATTCATTCGAAGTGTTTTAAGATGTTTAACCCGACAACTACTGTTGATATTAAAATAATATGCCAGGTAATTGGTTTTAAAAATTCTTATTGAAATCAAACCACCCATCTATGAAAATTAAGAAAAGGTACTCAAGTTAAATACATTTTTTTTTTTAAAATTAAACTACACACTTTAAGATAATTCTAACTCCATTTCTTTTTTTTTAAATTAAACTACACATAAAATTTCATCCAAAGTAAACTATCAATCATCACTCTCAGCACAGTTAACACATCTTTTCAAACAAAAAAAAAAAGAAAGAAGAGGAAGCAACACAAGTCAAAGAAGCTAAGTAAAACCATAGAGAGTGTTTTCCACTACAAACAAACCCTAACAAAACTTCGCATGCGAGTCAAGTTACTAAACATATGGATTCCACATAGCTTCATACCCAACATTTTTCTTATAAATCCACTCTCAAATAACACTAAAAAACCCATCTTTCGAAAACATCAATTCATAGACATTACAAACAACCTTAAACAAAACCAAAATGGCTTCAACTCAACCCAACAACTTTACCTACCCACGTTTCCCTCCTCCTCCCTTTCAACCCTCCACTCCTCCTCCACCACCACCACCTTCACCCTTCTTCAACCCTCCACCACCACCGCGTTCATTTCCTCCTCCTCCACCTTCTAGATCGCCACCACCGCCATTACGGTCACCACCACCACCTAAGCCATTTTCTCCTCCACCTCCAAAGGTGCGCCCACCGCCGCCACCTAGTCCCATTCGTCCTTCTCCTCCGCCACCACCTCGACCGGTTCGTCCTCCCCCACTTCCTCCTCCTGCCCCTCTTGTACCTCCTCCACCCTCTCCAAGCAACCCAACAGTGATAATAGTGGTGGTGGTCTCTTTGGGTGGCCTCTTGTTGCTCACAATGGTGGCTTTTGCTCTCTTCTGCTGCGTTCAGAGGAGGAAGAAGAAGACGCAAGGAAAGGAAGTGATTCACTTTGATGAGCAGAAAAGGGTACAGGAAACCATCGTGCCTGGTCCCTTCGGACAAAACACAGTGGTGGTAACCGTTGAAGATAACGTGCATATCGATGAAGAAATCAAAAAGAGTGAGAAAGTTGGTCACGGTGTGCATGGTGTGCATGCCAAATCATCGTCTCCACCTGGAGCAGACGAAACTACTTCTAGCGGCATTGTTGAAGTAGCAGCAACTCCTCCTGCACCTGAACATCACGATGATCCTCATCATCACCACCACCTTCAAAACAACCCGTGATTGAATCAATTACGAATGCCCTTTCGCATGGGAATTCAAAATCCTTGTCTAAACACTCCTAACAAGGATCGTTTACATGCCCTTAACTCATTTCAACGAATAAATAAATGTCATTAATTTTTTTCTTTCTTATTTCGCGTGAAAAACCCCTCCTTTGTAAAGTTTTCAAGTTTGGATTTATCGACTATGAAAGTTTATGTTGATACTGTTTTATTTAGTTTTAGGCTATTTATTTACTCTAGTTATAGGTTATTATAATTAAAGTAAAAGTAAATGCAATATAGCTAAATTCCAACAAGGTTAATATTAGAATGAATCTAATTAATATTCTATATAATTATACGGACGTTGATGTTTTAAGGATGGCATCAATTTAAATTGAATTGGAAATATTAAGGATGAGATATGTAGTCTATTTATAAATGTGTTAAAGAAATTATATTTTTATCCATGGGAAGTGGATGGACATGGGAGTGGTACGACGAGCTAAAAGTGATGTGTGAGAAAGAGTTTATTATTTGTTAAAAGAGGGATGCTAATTACAAAATACAAGGAAAATTTGTTAAAAGGAGGTTATTATTTGTTATCCATCAAGACATTATGGAGAAAAGAAGTTTGAAACTATTTAATGAATGGGTTTCACTAGAAGACAACATAGTGTAAATTTCTCAGTTTCCAAACTGCAAATAACAAAACGAGGAACAATAATTATGTTCCTATTCACCAATTTCTTTCATTTCTTCCTCATGTTCATTTTCTATCTTATTGGAAATTTGCTTTTTTTCTTTATTTTTAATTGCTTGTTTTCAATTAGTGAATCATTCTTATTTTTTTCATGTAATTTCAATTGCCATCTTTTTGTTTATAATACTTCAAGACCTCCTTTTTTTTAATTTCCTTGAGTTTATGTTCTTGTTAAAGACACGGATGGCCTAGTACTCATCAAGTACATCATACTATCTGAGTGTAAAATATTTTAATTATAATCAATATAAATAAATATTTGAATTAGTCATTTAGTTTTGAACTTTTTAACATGTTGATGGAACCTTCTCCTAACATTAAGCATGCAAGAAGAAGTTCCAAAACAGATGCATAACGGAATGAAAAATGGTCTAATGAAATGGATGCATAGAAGGTGTTTGATGAAAGTTTGGATGAAGGTATGGTGTGTGTATGATGCCTTCAAGCTCAAAAGGCCTTCCTACTAAGGAAGGAAGCTAGAGGAGAGTGAGAGAATTCAAAATTTTCAAGTGACTGAAGAGTATAAGAGGCTAGAACAAATCCTACAACATTTCATTACACTCCAAAGTGAGAAAATACAAAAAGATGACTCTCTTATTTATAGGTAAAGATGAGCCATCCTTTTGGCACAAATTCCCTCCCAAATTCAAATTAAAATCATGCAATAGGCGCCCTTAAACAGATTACGTAGCCCCTACTTCAAACCAGGTCAGAAACCACACATGTGAAAAACACTTATCGTAGTGGCTGGGCTTGTCAGGTTTTTGGCTGGGCCGCTTCTTCATTCCGGAAGGCAAATTCCGGCACACTTTAAATCTGGAAGCCAATCTTCCCAATGCGAAAGCTAACCAGAATTTTGTCTTTTCTTGATTCTTTTGCTTCCTTTGACTAGATGACTTCATTTTTGGTTGGTTCATGACCTCCTAGCATTATCC